TTTCGTCCTATTATGATACGTATTTCATGTCCGACTATTATCATATTTTTAAAGCTTTGACAAACAAAACATAAGTCAAAGAATAAACTGAATACATTGAGTTTCATTCATGTTTTTCGAGTTCCAAAAATATCATACAATAAATATTCATATGAAAGCATATTTATATAAATTCTTGTTTTTAGAGAATTTGCATTTTAATAGAAGTTTCGTTTGGCATGTGCACTGGAGTTGCAACTCAATTTGTGTTTATTTGCACAGCTTAAAAGTGCAACACTGTCCTACACAAGAGCCGCTTGCCATAAAGCTGTAAATTGCTTAAGTGTCGAGTGCTGTTTGAGCTGCCATATAAATTTGCAATTTTTGCATCATTTATTAACAAACAAGTTGTGGGAGCCCTAGTGGGCAGTATCCGACCATGAGATACCTTGACCTCAAGTGGAGCAGAGGAGCAGAGCAGCTATGCACACATACACATAAAGGGCTACACTAAAGGGCGTATCTAAGTCATATTTAAGCTTTAAAAATTAGTACTTTTTTAAATTAGAAAATATATATCCTTATATAGAGAATAAATACTAGATTAAAAATATATATTTAAATGAAAATAAAATAGTTGAAAGCTAACCCAAATATCCTCTAGCTCTTTAAGCTTCCGAAGTCAACAGACGAACAGACATGGATAAATATGGCTATGCTAGCAATGCTCAAGAGCTATCAAAAGCTTATCAAGAATGTTTGAATGTAAGTGGTTTGTGGGGTCGGTAAGGCATGCTTATGCCTGCTGAATTCTTAGAATATTAAAATATAAAATAGATTACAATTGAATGATTGCTAGCCCTTATAATTAATATCAATAATAATGGTGTTATGCACACATACATATACATTCATGCCATGACATGTCCTTTCTATTATTTAAATATTTGAGAAGCCAATTCATTTCTAGCTAAGTGCTAAGCCATTTGTGTGTGTGTGTGTGTGTGTGTGTGTCAGTGTCAGTGGAGGCTTAAATAAGCACTTATGCCATGCATACCTCACATATGGGCTCCGAGTAGCACACACACATGCACGCACACACATGGCTTGCAGTTGTGTCTGTGCTGTGTGATTAAGCCAACTGCATAATCCAGTGTTGGTATGCGTGCTATTTGGCCTTATTGATGGCACATTCAATGATTAATTGCCAACTGCACACACACATTAAGCAGTGCATGTTGTCAACGAGCTCTGGCTAATTTGCATGTTAAAGCTGTTTAGTGTAGCACTTGTGTAATCCTGAATGATCGGGCACCCAGCTGCTCGACTGCTCGACTGCTCGACTGCTCGAGTCGAGGAGCAATCGAGCGATGCATTTAATGAATGATTAAAAGGAAAGAAATGAAAACTCTGCATTTATTTGCGTTTGCGTGGTGCGCGATGGACGTCAGTCAATGAGGCAAATGTCAATCGGCACGCCCACAAACCAATTGGCCTGCAGCTCTGCGTATTTGTTTGAGTATTTAGCGCGCTTAAGTGCATATTAACCGCGTTTGTTCACTCCCCGTTCGCCAGGGCTTAAGCGGCTTACGTGCTTGACAACATGTACAACATGTCGTATGCGTTATATTTTAATTATGAAAGAGCTGACCCAGATAAGGAACGCAAAGAGCGTGTGTGAGTGAGTGAGTGTGGGTGCGTGTGGGTGTGTGAGTAAAGTTAAGCCGGGGAATGTAAATAGTGTGCTCATTATCATAAAGATATCCTGAGCATAATGCAAGTGCCACCGCGGCTTTATTAAAAGCCCATTAACTATGGCAATCGAGCGGGCCAATTTGCATGGCGGTTGGCATGAGATTGAGAGGAGGTGGTGCTGTGACCACAAACAAATTGCACGGGCGTGGCAATTGCGAAGAAACTGAAATCGTGAATTGAGACAGCGATGAGAGATGCAGAGAGTGTGTGTGTGTGAGAGAGAGGGAGATGATAGAATGGGAGCATAAGCTAGGCAAACATTTGTTTAGGCATTTGCACATGGCGTTCATCATGGCTCTCGCATGTATAACGGAAATTGATAAAGAAATGTGTATTGTGGCAAACATGAAAACACACACAAATGCCAGCACACACCCGCACACACACATACGGCATATTGTGGGCATCGTCATGCTCAAGCTGTAGTTTTTGGTAGGCGAGCAGGACATCTCTCATAGCTCGCTTGCGGTCAATTTTTGCCTGATATGTCAATTTAATATGATTTATGGGAATTATTGTTTCGGTCTCTCTTTCACTCGCTCTCTGTCTCTTTCTTTTTTCATTTTTTTTTGTGTTTGGCTTGTAACAATTGTTTTTCATTTAGCCTGTTAACATCGTGTTCATCACAATAAGTGCTGTGTGCATCTATACCTCTCCCTCTCTCTCTCTCTCTCTCTTTGTCGCTCCGTCTCTCTCGTTTTCTATTTGCTCGATTGCTTCTTTTTCCTCTAGTTGTGTGAGTGATGACCCGAGGCTGCCTGTCTGCCCGTCTGGCTGCCTCATGTCCGTTGATTGAGCGCTGTTTGGCACAGTGGGACGGACGCCTTTGTTCCATAGAATTTAATTGATTTGCCTGCCAGCTTATATCTATCTGCGCCCAGTCTCTGCTCTGCCATTGCTCCCCCGAATGGCACTGCAGAAAGTCGATTTAGAGTCGCGAACGGCACTTAATAACTTTGAATTAAATGTAAGCGCCGCAAAGTATGCAATAATTGTTGCAGCCCTGCCAGCGGGCAGGCAAAGCACAATAATGCAACGCCCAGCCAACAATGCCTGCTCTCTCTCTCTCTCTCTCTCTCTCACACTCTCTTTGTCTGTCTGTCTCTCTTACTGCAGTGGGGCTCTTTGTTCGCGTTAGTATTGTGCTGCATTGGCTAGGGGAACCACTTGAGCCTCGAGTAGCCAGAAGAGCCGGACGCTTTGACAATTCGCTTAAGCCCCGGCGCATCATTTATCATTGCGGGCAGCGCTTGAGTCCGCTCGGTCAGCACGGTCGGCGGCATAAATTAGGGCTGCAAAATTTAATGTGGTCAGCTGGGAACGGAGTATAATCGCGGCTTTTGGGTGACTGTGCGTCGAGCTAATTTCATAATCAAAAGCGAATCCGTTGCCAACTGGGATTGCCTCCCATTTGATTGGATTAAATGCGCCACATGAATAAACATAATCGGGCGTGTGTTGTGCGAGTGCCTCGGCTAAAAAGCCAAATCCCGCCCCACCTGCCACAGCCTTGTTGCCTTTGAATTGCAAATCATGTCGCCACTTAGCCGCTGACATCCCACCGGCAGATGTCTTTATTTATGCGTGCATGTGGATGTGGGCCCAGAATTTGTTTTTTATTTGGCGATTTTTGTTTTTTGTTTTTTTGTTTAGTAGTGACAGTTAGGGCATCCCTTTGATGTTTGACATGTGCCCGGGCACTCCGGCCGGGCCCTTGTGACACACATCGTAAATATTCAAGCTGAATTCAAATGCACTTACGAGCGAGCGCGCTGCTGTGGTTGGCTGTGCTCCACTCTAAGTGCTAACAAGTGTCTCATAGAACCACGGCCAAAACAAGACTCAAATCAATTTATATACTTGTCGGAATCGCCCACCACTCTCCATGTGTGCGTGTGTGTGTGTGTAGTAATTGTTCTGCATTCACTTGAAGCTCCATTTCCACATTTTTGGCAGATGCTGGCGCGGTCGAGTCAAGAGCTCGACTGTCTCTAAGGGCGCCGTTGGACTTGACCATTGAACTCGGGGCGAGGGCACAATGGCAAAAACGAAAACAAAAGTCGCCTACAAATCTCGGCCAGCAAATACTCGTAAGACTCGAACTCAAGACAAGAGGCAAAGGCCATGTGCTGAGTGGCAGATGTCACTTGCGACGTACTGCTGACAAGTCGGCAAAGGCAAAGGCAAAGGCAAAGGCAGAGCGTGAGTGTGAGTGCGTGTGTGTGAGTGCGTGGTGTGGGTGTGTGGGCTGCGTATGTGTGCGTGTGAGTGTTTTACTGAGTTTCTACCCAGCAGGAAATTTGAGCATATAATAAACCAAATAGAATTTCTTGAAGCAACAACTTTTATACTCAGCTCAGGTATGAGAGAGATCCAACAGCCGAAAAAGTATTAATAAGGCTTTAATAAAATTCTTTTTATTTCGCCTGTAAAAAAAGCATTGTTTAAAGCCACACTTAAAAGACCCATAGAAAGGCTATAAATTCTCCTTCTATGACCGCCTAAATAATGCATGGAATTGTAGCCAACGCAGTTTCCAGCCGGGTTATGTTTTTTGTTTTTGCAAGTTTTTTGGCTTTAGACTGCTTGACTGACTGACTGGGTGACTGACTGACTGACTGACTGTCAAAGCTGAATGGGCTGCTGGGCTGCTGGGCTGACGGCAACAACACGCGCTATTTATAAACATTATGACACAAACGAATTGTCATACAATTTGTCAACAGCAAGCACAAGTGTGGCAGCTCCGTCTGGGCCGCTTTGAGGGTGCTTTGTTTTCTTTTCTCTGCTGGCTTTATTATGAATTCAGTTGGCTTCTGGTTTATTATACCCTAAGCGCTTGAAGGCTTAATCTTTGACTGGATATTCCTAATCCGTATGCCTGACAAGTTTGTTTCGCATCAACAACACGAGCGAACTTTCCATATATTAATTTAATTCATTTTTATGCATGTCCTTGCAGTAGAGTTGAATTGCTTTTTACAGGGTATTCCACATAGTAGAGTATTTTGAAATTCATCATTTTGCTGATGTCTTGCCTGGCTCTTTAATTTGCATTATCATAGTAAGTCGTCAATGTCATTGTCTCGGCTCGGCTCACATGTTTGTCATTGTCTCTGCCTGGTACGCTTCATATCTTACTTGAAGGGCTTAACCGGGGGGTGGGAGAGCTGAAAGCGACTTGGTCTCCCGCTCTCCTCTTGCCAATTTTGATGAAGTTGTATGCATAAACATGTCGCGTAGCGCCAGTTGCGCTGACAAGCGACAATGAGCCTTCAAATTTGTAACAACTTTTTGTTGCCCCGGCAACATCTTGTCTATCATTCGCAGGCCCCAACTCCCAACTCCCAATTTCCTGCCCCACACCCCCCAAACAGCCCTTTTGGGGTTGTTCTGAATGTCATTTGGCTGTCATCAAACTAAATCGCACATGAAATTCACCATGTGTCTCGCATGTCTACATGGAGCATGAGACTAATCGTAGTCAAACAGAATGCCACTAACCAAGATTGATGGCCCCAATGGTTGGCCTGAATTGAAGGCAACAACTGGAACTAGTTCCAGCATTTAATTAGCTGAAGCGCTCCGCACAGTATTGCAACCCATTCAAACTGAGAGCTAGTTAATTCTCTAATAGTACTATTTTGAAAGTGGCTGATGTAACTAAATTGAGCAAATGCTCAAACTACGAATTTTCCTCTTTAGTGTGGAATGCGGCCCTGGATTGAGTTTAATATGGGCAAAGATTGCTAGAGAGCTGCATTAGAGTTCTGTCAAAAACAAATATTTCTGCAAGGCACATAGAGTTGTCGTTGGGGTTATGGAAAACTGTGTATTTAAATAGAAAATGAAAATCATTTGGTATATGTTAAAGGCAGTTGTGAAAATTTTACAAAATCTGAATTGGCAATATAGATTAAAATTTGTATAAAAAAATGCAGTTTAAATAAACTAAGAGGAATGTTGAATTCATTTTATAATTAATTTTAAACAAAACAAATAAGAGTGCTCTAGTCGAGACTTCTCGACTAGGAGATACCCTGCACCCTGCCAGCTGATATTCTATTGTACCCACATAAAAACACTAAAATTGTGGCGAAGGGGGTGTGGTATACAAAATCTGTAAACAACACAATCCATTAAATATGTATACACAATAAATCTGAAGTCTCCAGGTCTAATACATAGTATTGAAATGCTGCTGAAAAAAACGAAATCCTATTATCGATTATTCTCGATAAATGATATCGAATAAGTTATCGAAAAATATTTTAAGCTCGTAAGCTATACACGACTATGCATGCAAAATTTCAGCTCCCTAGTTCTTATATCTTCTGAGATCGGCGCACTCATAGCGACGGACGGACAGGGCTATATCGACTCAGCTCATCGTCCTGATCAAGAATATATATAGTTTATGGGATCTGCGTTGATTGCTTCTGCCTGTTACATACTTTTCTCAAAACCATTATACCCTGATTTTTCAATGGGTTTAAGGTATAAAAAAAAGGAAATCATAAACCTATGCAGAAACAGTCTTTAAATGTTTTTAAGTATTTAATAATTGAATGTATGTATGTAGAAATGCTTGAAAAATAAATAAATTAATAATTGCAACATAATTTCAAGCATTGCAAAATTTGACAAAATTTACTCCTTTTCTATAATAACTATTCAACTAAGTCTCCACTGTTTAGTCAAGTATAAATATCCAAATTTGCGCTTTAATTTTGTACGTCTATTTAATATCTGGTATTAGTGAGAGAGCGGCATTTAGGTAAGTCTCAATTTGATATCAATCATTGGCAGCTTGCGCAACATTTAAATAATTTCTCAATTTCTTACAGATTTCGTGCCGCTTGCCAATTAAATTTGAATCAAATTATGCTGCTGAATCAAATTTGGAGCTGGCCGAGCGGCTGCCTGCGCTGCCTGCGTTTCGCCTCGAGCTGAGTGCGTAGCGTTTGTCAGTTTTGGCAATTAATTGAATTTTGTTGTCGAAACTGCAAACATTTGATAACAAATTAGTTTACTAATTTCAATCTTAAAAAACAATTAGGCTGCTCGAGCGATAAGACGAGCGGACGCCGACCGGCGACAACTTGTGACAGTTACGCGTAGTTGGAAGTTGGCCGTCCTGCGCTGGCAGGGAGTCCTGGCTGGACAAGGACAGATATATACAGATTGCTTGGCCTGCCTTGCTTTGCACTTTGCTTTGTTTTTGCTGTTCACTGCGTCGTTTCGTCATTATTGCCTGTTTTTTTTCCTCTTTTTGAAAATGTTATTCATATTTATTTAGCTGAACAACAGCCTGTTCTTGTCTCGGGCCATGCTGTTCTGTTTAGAGTAATTTTTTCTGTCGCTTATTAATGAAGAATAAAATCATTTGCAGAGGGTGAGGCCCAACATTTATGAAATTAAATTGAATGTTAAAATAACAATCTTCATGTTCTCGCTTTGTGTTAATTAAATGCTGTCATTACTCTGTTAGGTTATTTTGGGGGACTCACCTGAGATCGATGTACTGGTAGACAGATGTGATGCCGAGATTGAAGTAGACGGGCACAAACATGAAGCAGACGATTGGATAGGCGCTCATCATGCCGTATATTATCTCCCACATGGCCGAGCCGCGGTAGTACAGCTCGCTGGGGTAGCCTGGTAAATGGAAGTGCGATCTTTAGTTGAGGTGAATGGGGATCGGTGGTTGGTGGTTGGTGGTTGGTGGCTCCACACTTACCCAGCACCGATCGTACGCCGAGTGTGCCACGCGCTATGGATATCATGACAGCCACTAGGGATACGCCGCCCGTGGCAAACACATAATCCGCCTTGCTGCGCTGCTTGCTCTTGCCGAAGATGCGTGTCCAGAGTGGCCCCAAGACGGTGAGCGCTATGAAAGCCACAAACATGAAGTAATCCCAGCCTAGAGTGCTCAAATCCTTGGCCATGTTGCTGCTGCAGAGATAGAAGCACCGTAATGCAAAAATCAAATACCAACTTGGTCAAAATAACTTTTAAGCGCCAACAGAGGGCGGCCATCGCGCGCAAGTGGCAAGTGGCAAGGGGCAAGGGGGTGAGGGGGTGAGGGGGGCGATGAGTGCGTGGTGTACGTGTTTTTGCGGGCTGTTGTCAAAACGTTTTCCAGCATAGTTGAACATGTGCATATTAGTCACGCTCGGTGCACATAATGCCAACACCGTCAACGTTGAAACTTTGGCCACATTGTTGCATATCCGCAGGCGCGTGGTTCGCGTGGGTTGCGTGGGTTGCGTCTGCGGCTGCCCTCTCCTTGTTCATGCAACAAGCCAATACCCTCCGCCAAAAAATAAGGGACAATCTCCGGGTGAGCATGTGTATGTGTGTGTGTATGTGTGTGTCTCTGTGTGTGTGTCTGTGTGGCGTTGGCGCCAGGGCAAATGAGTTAAAACAAAGCAAAATGTTGTGCGCTACAAAATTTATGGACTGTGTCCTTTTTTTGCCTGCACTGCTCACATTTGTATTCACCAAGCCAGCCAGCCAGCCAGCCAGACACACACTGGTGCCTTACTGTCTTCCCACACCTAAGCGTGTAGGTGTGGTCTTAGCGGCGACAAGTTGGTAGTGGGCCACAAAGTGCGCAGCTTATATGCGATTTGTTTTGCAACTTTGTATTTTTCCACATGTACTCGAAAAAAGACGAAAGCCAAAGCCAGAGTCAGAGCCAAAGCCAGAGTCGGAGTTGGAGTCGGAGCCAACTGTTGATCCGCTTGAGCAGAGCAGCCAAAAATTTTACGGTCTTGCAATTGCTTAGCTCAACTTATATGCTCTAAATACGCTTTATGGCCTGGCAGTGTATATTCTAACCGTATCGCAGCATGTAGAACCTATTCAAATTGGTTGTGCCCTTGAAATGCATGCCGAGCTGACGGATATTACCTTTGTTAGCTATTCTTTGAACGGATTTTGCTGCTCCTATCGCGAGTTATGCTTCGAATATTAATGATCTAGTTAGCTATTAATAATATTCTGGTTGAGCTTATTGTATGGCATATTCGTAAGATAATCAATCCTACAATAATCTTGTATGTAAAATAATATTAGTCCCAGTCAAATTAAAACTATTTAGTTCATTAAAAATTTAAATATTGTAGTTATGGGTAGCAAAGTAATTTACTATATGAGCTAGTATATATGTTTTTTTTTTTTTTCTTTTTTGGTAATAGTTCTTTAGAGTTTAAATCCTTTAAAGATAGGAGATGAAGATAATACACCTATATAGGTCAATAAAAATATGTACATATATCTGTAAATATGCATATAAATTGTGTATATGTACACAATATAATAATAATATATAATAATACTTATATCTGTATAAACCATTTGTGTTTTATTGCATTAGTTTTTTTTTCGCAAATAATTATCAATTTGCTTTTTGCTTGCGGGAATTTACATTTCGACCACAAATTATTATTATATTGATATCAAAGATCAAGTTTGTAAATTGAGCTATTGCGCCAGCTGCTGGCATGCCAAATGGTAATTAATGAATTCGAAATTGAAATGCATTGCCGTGTTGCCGATTTCAAATAGAAATTCGTTATATAAGAGTGTTATCAGAAATTATTCATACGCCCCATTAAACGGGCATCTGGATACAAATTGTAAATTTCATTCATTACCGACTCACTCGATCATTATTATTGTTATTATTATTATTATCAGCATGATGTCCAACTAATTGACAGCACGTAACAGACAGCCATGTATGTGTGTGTGTGTGTGTGTGTGTGTGTGTATGTGAGCATGGGTGTGTTTTTATATGTGTCATTTGCTGTCCCTTAAGCTTTCATCTGACACTCTGTCTGGCTTTTGTTTTGCCATTCTGTACAAACTATTAGTCATGTTTTTTTCTGGCTTACTTGCGTTCTTTGTGCTCTCTTATTTTGTTTTCTTCTTGGTCTCTGCTTTTTTTGATAATGGAAACTCACATTTAAACGGCACAGCTGCCCAGAGCTGACAGCAGCTGTCCAGTTGGACTGGCTGGGCAGTCAGCTCTGTCTTTGGCCATGTGATAAGCAGGGCCAAACCCACGGCCAAAGGTCGCCCATTGTTCGCCTGAACTTGAGCGCAAAATGTTATTTTCTGCTTTCTGAGCTTAAGCAAATTATCCGTATTGAGAGCGCTTTGTTACCTGCTGCTGCTGCTGCTCCTGGATTCCGCACTTAATTCCGTTTAGCCAACGCTTTGGGGGTCGCAGCAGCAGCTGGCACTGAAAGGCGACGTGTCTGCAGGGCCATCATCGCGCACATTTCCAATAGAGAGCAGCGACAATTTGCGCACATTTTCATCAAGTATGTAGAGCGCTGCCAAAACTAAGCCACATGTATGCATAAGTAAGCAGGAAGCACCATTTGAGATTGGCTGGGGCGTTTGACATTTCAAAGTGTCACATGACATGCAGTAGGAGTGGGGCTCAAGTAGTCGTGGTGAGGGTTTGTAGATTGCAGCCGGCAAGTCTTGGGCGCTCACATCCCGTTACGCCGAAAAACACTTGCAGTTAATATTCATGCACTTTTGGCGCAGCTTGAAAAATTACACGAAGGTTGGCGACATGTGTGCGCCGCGATGACGAAGGAGTCGTCGATGCCAAGGATCATAAATTATAAAGCAGCCGCTACCACAGCAGCAGCCGCCAAACCTCTGAGAGTCGTTGACATGTCGGGAGTCTTGGCAGGCCATTGTGTGTGCCTGAAGCTGACAGCCACAATGGAAAGTTATTAAAAAAACTGATGCTGCGATAAGCGAAAGAGCTCCAAATACAAAAAGGGACACAGTGAGAGAGAAAGAGATAGAGAGAGAGAGAGGGAGAGAGGGAGCTCGAGTCAGAGTGCGGGCATCGCATAAACCAAAAATTTATGCTACTCATGAAATATTCAACATGCGTGACACAAGATCCAAACATCCGCTAGATAATGCGCCAAAAAACTCGAGTCCAATGAAAATATCAAAAACACATTTGCCCAGACGCTACTTAATTTGCCATTGATGGTCGCTCTCAGCCACGCCTCGCGACCGCCCCTATCTATTTTTATATTTAAATTTTATTATACTCGTACTGCTGCCATCTCCATCTCCATCTGAACCCCGTCTCTGTCTCCGCTTTCGTCTCCTTCTGCAGCTCGATTTTCTATTCTTTGGCATTTTGGCCATTTGCCTGGACTGGCTGTTTCCGCCTCTGACTCGGCCACTGACAAATTGAAAATGTAATTTAGTCAAAGTGCAACATTGCGTTGCATACTTTGGCGCGCTGTGGGCGTGGCACCGCCCAGCCAGCAACGCCTCAACTGTTGGCTAGCGTCCAAGCAGGCCAAAGGACACCAGCAGTTGCCGACTCAATATGGCTTAAAGCGCCCGCCATGACGCAAAACGTATGAAAAACTCTGCTCTTTGTTTTAGTTACTTTTTTTTCACCTTTGCACACACACACACACACAGGCACGTACACCACACAGAGCAAAGAGCTAGAGCTGCATGTTTAATGCATGATTTTGCATTTTTTACTTTCCATCAAGCCAAGCCACAAAAGGTGTGACCCGTCGGACATCAGAGTCTAGTCAGCAAACGCCAACAACTTGATCAAAATTAATACCCTGTAATATCCATAAAAATGCAATTTGCTATTCATGAGCTTTTTGACCAGACTACTTACTCTTACTAGTCCATGATATAAAATGTTCTATGGATGGATTTTGGCTATGATAAAATGTTCATTGATAAAATGTTATCGTAAATGACTTTTATATAGATATTTTATATGCACATTGTATATTTCTCTGATATATGTTTATTAATTGATGAAATGGAGCATATCTGTTCGTCGACTACACTAGCTAGCAAAGCTCGCTTATTTGTTAGGACTTAAGCCGAGTCATTATGGTAATTGTCTTGTTAGCTTAAGCTGGGTGTGCCCCAATCGATCGGCAAATTGATGTCAGCTCTTGCAAATTAAATGCACTAATGCAAAGATTGGACTGTCAGGTAAGTTCACTGTGATGCCTTGAACTCATTAAGAGTGCTCAAAGGTGCAAAATGAGTTTATGTAAATTCATTTAATAGACTGCAGAAGGCAGCTCTATATATATAGTAGAAGACCTCCTGAGCCAAAGTTTATAAAAATATAAAGTGATATAAAAATAAAAACTACCCTATAAAAGTAAAGTAAACTACGAAAAGTGAAGCAGAATAATTGATAAAAAAAATGTGTTCTGCTGCTATATACATATATATTTACAATAAAATCCTCTTAATATTTAGAAGCAAAAGATCAGTGAAAGCAGCTTAAAATGCAACAATTTAGTTTCGAGCACTTGCAATGAAGGATAAGTCGGAAATTCGGAAATTTCCGTACTAAAGCGCTTATAGGGCTTTCATAGAGTAGCGATGCTATAAAGTAAACTTAAGGCACTTGGTAAGTATTATGAGAAGCCAAAACTAGATTTATGGGGCCCTTGCAGCAGCAGCAGCAGCAGCAGCAGCAGCAGCATCTACCCCTTTTCATAGTCAACAATGTTGCCAGCTCGCAATGTATGCATTTCATTACAATGCATAAAACTTGACGCTCGCTGCATTTGCCGGTGCGTTCGGCTAATTAAAGTACGCGGCTAATTGGAAGGGTGGGTGCTGGAAGGCGGGGGGGGTGGGGCGAGTAACTTTCTCGATGCAGATTTTGGCAATCAGAAATGCTAGGAATGGTGGCCAAAGTTGCTCTTGATAGGTTTTAGCTTACAGCCACAGTGTGGGCATAACTTTTGGTCCATCAAGTGCTTTAAGTTTTCATCCGTTGTCGCCCACACACAGTCACAGGGGCCGGCACGCACCTCTTCAAGTTAATGTCGTGGCAATCGCGTTTGTCAGCTCAGTCGGGCGCGCAGGGCTGTCGCCTTTCGTTTGGCGAATGGCCATGCCTCCTGGCA